AAACCTAAGCCTCTCCAACTACTCACTACGGGGGGTTTCACTTTGCCTTATTCCGCTGCACCCAGACAGGTTGGACCCCCAAAATTCAACATTTCCGTAGATTTTCTGCATTCTTCTGTTGGTAGTGTTTGCCTACTGACTACAAATCTACTGGAAGCGGACGTCTACTTGAGAAGAGGAGGGAAGAGACGCCAACGCAAAGATGAAAGGTTACCAATACATGAGAAGAGCAGGAACGGCAGCACTGCTTTCCGCAATTCTGCTACCAGCAAACTTACCAACAGCAACATTCGCATCAGCAACAGTCACCACTAAACCCCAACATGCCACCTCGAACTTCACCACCCACTCCCAATCCCTCCTCACCCAATCCATGTCCTTCATGGACCAACTCTACGACCCCATAGCCGGCTACCTCTACCGCTTCAACACCGCCCTCCTCCACGACACCCGTTCCTCCTCCTGGTACGCAGCAGGCCTCCTAGCACGCGCCAGCCTCTCCAATACCACAACCACATCTACCTCATCATCGGACATCTCCGAAGCAATCCAGATCATCAGTAACATCATCAACCCCCAATTCACCAACACCTCCGAACAATGGTACGGCGACTACCAATCCTACCCAGAACAACCCTACCCCGGCACAGAACAGTATCCCGCAACGATCTACAATACATGGGATCCGAACTGGCGAGGATTCATCGGGACGGCATTTATTGTGATTCTGGAAGAATATAGCCATCTCCTACCATCTTCCCTCCAAACCGACATTCTCGCAAGTCTGAAGCTCAATGCCATAGGCGATACATACCGCGTCGGAGGCGTAGACGACGATAATTTGTACCCTTTCTACTCCAATGCGGCAATAATGAAAGCCGCTGTGGGATCCTATATCGGTCATCGGTTACAAGATGCAAATTTGACGAATGAGAGCGAAGCTTGGGGAAGAGAGATTGTAGAATTGTTTGATGAGGTTGGAGGAAGTCTGAGTGAATTCAATGGGCCAACGTACACAGGCGTAAGTTTGACCGGGCTAACCATATGGGCCAAGTACTTGCCTTCCAATTCTTCGCTGAAAGCGAGCGGAGAGAGAATGATTCGACGAACGTGGGAAGAGTTCGGCGAGTTGTATAATGCGAATATGAAACAGATCACGGGGCCGTGGGATCGAAGCTACGGGTACGATGAGTCGAAGTACTTGTCCATCATGAGCTTGTGGATTTGGAGTCTCGTCGGACTGGAAGCGTCGCCGTTTGGACCAAATTTCAAGCCCTGGGCAATCGCGCACAACGATGATTTTGAGATCGGCCCTCTGGTCGCCATCTTGACGAAGTATCATGTGCAGCAAGGCTGGGTTGGCGAGAAAGTCATGAGGTCTCTGACCGAGTTCGAGGATCCAGGAGAAGGGGGCAGAATGTTCATGGCATCTGCTTACTCGGACGCCTACGATCACGTCCCTCGCAATATTACGTCTTGGATATCTGCCAACTTGACGATTGGTGCAGAGAGCTTCGACATGAACGTCGTGGGCGGCCCAGCCAGGAATCCATCTCAATTCAACCCCGCAATCGCGCAGTGGTTACGAGGAGATGGATCAGTTGGCTTCCTGACGTTGTATCCAGAGACACAAGCGCTACAGGCCGAAGTCGGTCCACGACGACTCAATCTGACATATCCGTATGGTAACGCAACGAGCAAATTTGTCTTCCATGTCAGCCCGAATGGGCTGACCGGGCCGAAGAATGTGTATTCGTGGGACGATATCCTTGGTGTCGGTGTGAAGGTCTCTGGCTCGGTACGCCCAGAACCGGAGATCAACTTCTGCGGTAACGTCGGAGGAGCTTGCGATCCTGTCAAGTATGTCGCTACTCTCGCTACTGTCCATCACCTGGCAGCTTTCTCGGCCGTACTGCATTGGCTGACTTGTTATCTTTTTAGTGAATTCGACCTATGGAACTTCACGTACAGTATGCCGGCGAATGATACGCGACTGCCGAATATCGTCCTTGATTTTGAGCTTGTGTGACGGGTCGTGAGCTTCATGCTAGCAGGCTGGGCTGGGCAAGATAAAGCTGTGGCTAAGCATGGGAGGTCGAGCTTCGTGGGGTGTCCTGTAGCGCGAGTCTAGGCTTTTGTGGTCGATGTGTTTGCAATCAGACAATCGTCGCGTGATGCATTTTGCACTCACAGAATTTTCGATGCTATGGCAGATGCGGCTGGTAGGACATGGAGGGGCTGGTTGATGCCGAGACCCCATGGTCAGGCCAGGTACATCTTATGGAGCAGTGACGATCATGAGTAGAGCCAAGGAAAGGAAGACACGGATATGAGCTGGGTACTGGGTAGGGCATGGCGGATAAATAATCGTGGGGTTTCCCGATATGCAGTAGCCGCTTTGGTGTCCTGACAGCCCGTCTGATCGTTCGTACTGCAGATTTGGTGGCACCGTCGACATGACCCAGTGCGCCGTGGTACGGCAAAGTTAGTTGGAATGCATCTCGTAAGGAAAAATCGTCGAGCCACGCGGACGGTGGGCTGCTGACCACACCACGTGCGCGTTGATTGGGCGACCTCGGCGAGCGTGAAGAAGTGCTTTTGGCTCCGCCTACACGAAAACCACCAGGTTGATGGTTCATGGTGACATGTCGGCTCGCTGCGACGGGTGATCAGCAGCAGTGAGGCTAGATTGTTCAGGGCGGGACTATTGTTGAGCGTCGTGATAGTCGATGTCTGGGCGGTCGCGCTTCGCAAGGTGAGGCGAGCAGGGAAGAAGCTAGTTAGCACGGGCTGCTGAATCTGGCAATCGCGGAGGGCGATTCAGCGACGTCGCTGAGGCCAACACGTGGCGGGTCGTGAAGCTCGTCGATGGGGGAGGCGAACGTCGATTGGCTCCCAAATTTGCATCGATAGAAGTATCGCGGTATCTCTGCTCCCGCTGATAATGATGATGAGGGTGCGCGGTCGCGCGTGCGGGCGGTGAGATTGGTGAAGCTCGGCGATTTGGGCAGCCCATCGTCGCCATGCTAATCCGGCAGGCACGCGGTCGATGCTGCAACCTAGAATGGTTGTGGAAAGGCTGGCAGCGAGCCCATTGCTCGCGAGTTGCAGCTGGAGGTGCAGATAAACGGGCCGGTGGCCGCTGCTCCCTGCCCTGTGCGGACGCGAAAAGAAGGGTCTGGATCTCCAATGGGCTAGGGTGGCAGAGGCATTGCGTGGCTGTGATGACAGCGAGACACTGCCGCGAGCACG